GACAGGAGAGCACTTTTCAAACATTTGAAAGGCTATCATACAGAGGAGGGACAAGATCTGTTCTCGATCATCCCAGAGTGCAGGACACACAACAAAGGGCTGAAGTTAAAGGAAGCTAGATTTCAGTTGATTATCAGGAAAAACGTCTTAACTGTTAGAGCAGTACAACAGTGGAACCAGGGACCTCAGGAGTTGGCGAGTGTTCCAACGCTGGGGGTATTCAAGAGACAATCGAAGAATCATCTGTCAGATGTGCTTTGACATGGATTTCTGCCTTGAGGAGAGAACCAGAATGAATGAGGTCCCTTATAACTCAATTATTCTGTGCTTCTATATTAAATTAGGCAGCATAGGAATGTATGAATATGTACTTTCTGCTGAACCTGTTGGATCCAGGAAGCCTGTCATTTAGAATACTTCTTGAGCCGAGGTACTTTTGCGACGGCTTTCAGGCACTCCAAGATGCTGGCTAAGGAGGGAAAGTTGCCTCTCGTTGCCCAAGAGGACCAAGCATTGTTGAAAACACATCCTCATCTCCAAGATGCGACTCCATTTCCATCTGCCAGGCTTGACAGAAGCATCTTTCTTTCCCTCCCGGGGAATCATTAGATGATCACCTTCCGATGGGTAAGATGAGGCTTTCCTTTCCAACCTGGAAAGGAGGGGATTATTCTAATAGTCTCGGCTTTGTCTGCTTGAGCCATCCAGCCATCCCCAAATAATTAAGGCTGTCAGTCAAGGCCTGGAACCTAAATGGGAGATACTCTGCAGCCCATGAAGGATTTAGTGGTAATGAGAAGGCAGAGGCCAAGTTATTCTGGCTCCCCCACCCCTTCCTGACACCTTTTTATCTCTTGTTTGGCTTGTGTCGGAATTAAGGTGGCTTCTTCTGAAACGGATGTCAGGAAGGAAGGAACATCGGAAGCTGCCTCATGTTGAATCAGAACCTTGATCCGTCCAGCTCAAGATTGTCAGATCTGGCTGTTTATTAGAGTTTAGGGCCAAAATCCAGTCGTAAATTGTCATTAGAGCAGGTTGATTGAATTCATGGGGATTTGTTGAGTGAACTGCTCCTCATGTTGGCATGGATTCAACGGTCCTCCTACAGTTAGGATGTACTATTGGATTTCCATCCGTTTAGGGGCTTGTTTCTCCCAGAGTGTGAAAGAGGTCGACCAAAATTAAAATAAGGGGATCAGCTCCACGAGCGCAACAGGACCAATGTCCTCATCGTTAGCCATTAGCTCTGATTAGAGGCCTCATTTGGTGATCTTTGGATACCTGTAACCTCATAGCATTGTGAACGAGTGGAGCACATCCTGGGGTCACCCTTAATCAGCAGCGACTTGCCTTTTCATCAGTGGTCATCTCCATCGTGCTAGTGAAGCTGCAGAATAGGGTTTCGTTCAAAACTGGACATTTCTTGCAGGTGAAGCCCTGGGTTCTTGGACCCCATGTTGTTTGTTCTGCGGACACAACACCTATTTTGAGAAAATAAGGGACCCTGCCCTCTGCTGCTTCCCAACCTTGGGTCTCCAGATGTTCTTGGACTAAAACTCCCTGAAGCCTCCACCACTTGCGATGCTGGACAGGATTTCTGGATGTTGCCGTCCAAGAACATCTGGAAGTCCAAGGTTGGGAACCACTGATTCATAGCATGATTGTCACTCTGAGAAGCAGACAAAGATCTCTATAGTTTCTAGCTTCTCTTGGAGATGGAGATCCGAAGAGTTCTCTCCTGGTCACCCATCCAAATAATCACCCAGGCTGACTCTGCTTAGCTTCCAGAATCTGATGAGATCAGATACATTCAGGAGCCGTAGCCTTGCCTTCCTCCCCACCTCACCTACAGGGTGAAATATCAGGAAAATAATTGAGTTCAAGACCTACTCTCTTATCTTTTTGGAAATGTGTGGAGCGATGCCCTTAATATATAAGGCAAGGGCGTGCATCTCAATGGGTACATACTCTGCAAGGCGATCCACATTTTTCTTTGGGCATCACATCTAAATGTATATTTTTGCATCACTTCTGGCCTCTCAAAGCCTTGGCACCTTGGCAGGTTGGAAAGACTGGCGTGAGCCAAAATGGCTCTCTTGCAAACTGGCCGCCAGAGGGCTCTCCTGATCCAGAACAAACCTCTTTCTGTTGTGCTTGTCGTAACAGATGATTATGGCACGGCTGGGGTTAGCAACAGTGGGTTTCCTTGAACAAACAGACAAATCCGTATCAACGCGGCTGTTTGCAGAAAATTTAACTCTGTGTAATTCGCTTAGTTCCCTCTAATAAAAACATCTCCAGACCGTGCAGAAATGAGGTTTGAGTGAGACCAGACGGATTCTTGCATTTCATACTTAGTTTGCAATGATTCAATTCAAGTGGGGTGTGTGCTTTGTCTATCGTTGTGGGGGGAAATGCACAAAAAAATTACACTGGAACTCTAAAGACGGTTAGAGATAGTGGCAGAAATCTGCATGGCAAAGACCCCACTTGATCAGACAGCCTGAGCTGGCCGACACATTGGACTTATTTGATTCAGTTCATTTGGGACTCAATCCAAATCAGGGGTTTCTTTTCTGCCGCAGGTATGAAATTTGCACAACAGGGATCCGGAGCAAAATGTTACAGTGGAGTCTTCTCCTCCAGATGTTCTGCTAGACCAGTGGTTCTTAACCTTTGTTACTCGGATGTTTTTGAACTGCAACTCCCAGAAACCCCAGCCAGCACAGTTAGTGGTGAAGGCTTCTGGGAGTTGCAGTCCAAAACTCCTGAGTAACCCAAGGTTAAGAACCAGTGTGCTAGACAGCCACCCTTTTCCAGAGCATTGCATACCTTTCCCCATCTTTCCTCTCTAGTTTTTCATCCTCTCATGGGGTGTGATGTACCTGACCATGGGGCAGAGTGAGGGCACCATCTCCGGTCCACTTCAGGTAGCAACTCTTTCTTCAGTCTACCAAGGAAGGACCTTTCCCACCTAGAAGTGACATCCACCACTTGTGTTGGAGTTTTTACAACCTCGCATGCTTCCTGTTGTTTAAGTGACTGGGAGGAGCTTTTTCGGGCAGGAGTGACTGTCAGCCTATCCAGCACTAACCAATTGTTTCTTCTCACCTCTGAATTCAAAGAGAACCCGCCTCTCCGCTAAGTGCTCCTTTCCCCTCTCTTTATTCTGTTGGAAGCAGCCTGTTGTTACTTTGCTGTTGATCTGTTCGTAAGCATAAGTAATGAAATGTCTTCATACTTTTTCCCCCTCTACCAATATGTCAGAGTGAATGATTGAGACCTTGAAGTGCCTGTTAATGAGAAAGGGGTGGACTATCCGGGAAATTTGAAGCTATTTTCCTTTGTGAATTTCTGCAGTTCCACTGTGTAGCAAAAAGAATTCCACCAGAAATTCAAAACTCTGAAAACATTTGACACCTGTGGTTGACCAGCTCTGTCATTATTTTGAAGCAGAAGTCCTACAATGTCCAACCCATCGGTGATTATTGGGAACTGATTCTCCTTGAGAGGGGCTGGACATGATGATCTATAGGGTCCCTTCCAGCTCTGCAGTGCTAAGATGACGATGGTTGATATTATAAACATATAGCCCTGTTTGTAAATGGCTAGGTGGGCAAAAGAGGATGAATGGCTGTTCTCGCACCATAACTGTTGAGCCATGTAAAAGTCAAGTGACTAGTCCCTAGTGCAGATGCTGCTCTTGCCCTGAGGCTAAGAGAAGTTCTCTTGTTGAGATCTTCCTGGCAAACTTGCAAAGACTGCAGAGATGATCACAGGCCCTTGACGGAAACAGAAGTTGCCTGTAAAAGCCAACGACTGTGGTTTCCGGTCTTCAAAGTTCAGTGCCGTGACGTGGTATTTCTGAGATGTTTTGACCACATTCATGGGGGGCGGAGAAAGGGGATGATTCAAGAAACTCAAGCCTCTGAAGAAAGAAACGGAAAGGAGATCACCCTCCATGAAATTACAACTTCGCATGTTGATCTCAAGTCAAGTTATTTGTCTGAATTTTCCCCTTCTGCTTTGGAAGCAGGCTGTTTTTTTTAAATACATCACCCATCATCCTCACCCAGCATGGTCAAGGATACTAGGAGGTGTGATCCAAAAAGCTGCAGAAGACTGTTGCAAGGAGAGGAAATTCTGAAGAACACTGGCCCTTGGAAAAGCATGCACCCTAAAAACATCCCCACAAGGCAAACACAAGTTTGAAATCAGAGCAGCTTTTCCCAGGACGCTGATCCTCAAATAGGGACTTGTCCTGTTGAACAAGTGCAACTAGAAGGTATGATTCTAGTTTAATTAATTAATTCATTAACAACATTTTTACTCCCCCAAAAAAGGACCCAAGACGGCTTACATCGAGAAAAACACAATATTCTAACTTCTGAAAACTGGAAGTCTTTGGCTGTCAGATGTCTTGCAAACATCTCCCATCAGCCACACCTGATTGGACCCACATAAAGGATCATGAGACATGTAGTCTAAAATGTTTACAGCAAAAATTGTCCTGTCCCTACCTTCGCAGGTGAGTAGAAGGATCCTGAACCTGCTGGGGAAGGCTATGTGCTTGGAGGCAGGGAGAGGATTAAAGCTTTCCCTCCCCTTACTGTTTTGTTTAAATTACATGCAGTTGGTCAGGCAAGTTAAGAGGAGACAGGACAGAAATGATGCATTGGAAATTATGCTGAATGGTGAAGAGTGTCATTGAGGGTAAGGGAAGGGAAAGCATGGGGACGATCCATTCATGGAGAATGAAGATTTGGTTTGGAGCTGAGAAATGGCAAGAAGGTGGAGCAGGTTGACCTTCTTTCTGGTCAGATGGAGGAAAGAAAGAAAGAAAGAAGCAAGTAAGCAAGCAAGGAAACAAATATAGAAATAATTCTTGTGCACTTTAACCCAGTCTAGCTAAAGAAAAATATCACGTGGTGGGCTGGCACTTCCGCTTGGCCTGTGGTCTCACCTCTGAGAACTTCCCCTACCAACAAACGACATGAAACTTGCATAAGAGAAAACCTCCAAGTTGGTTAGTTTTCTCTTTCACTTCCTCCTCTCTGTCTCTTTCTCTCGTGTCTCTCGTCTCTCTCCCTCTTCCTCCATCCTCCATGGCTCTCCGCAGGCCTCCACCATCCATGTAAACGCTCGCTCAGCTCCCCGACTCATGTCTTCTTTGCCTCGGTGGTCACGTTCGCAAAATGTCCTGGGCAGGTGCTCTCTACCCACCGGTGTTCACCCCGTTCTCCTTGGCTGTCCTTTTCTGGTCCTACTTCACCACCCGAAGTCTCAACCCCTGCTCAGAGGTAGGTGGTTTTGGAATAACAGCTGCTTTCCCTCCCTTTTGATGAGGTCCTCCATCTCTCCTTTGGAGAGCTGTTGTGGTTGTTAGGTGCTGTCAACTCCGACTGTTGATGGCCCCACTGTGGTTGTTAGGTGCTGTCAAGTCAACTCCGGCTGTTGATGGCCCCATGAATGTCCTGTCCAAAATTTCTTGTCCTTAGTAGCCCTGCTCAGCTTTTAAACTCAAGCCCATGGCTTCCTTGAGGGAGTCACTCCACCTTGTATTGAGTCTTCCTCTTTTCCTGCTGCCTTCCACCTTTCCCAGCATTATTGTCTCTTCCAGGGTATCCTGCCTTCTCACGAGGTGCCTAAAGGAGGACAGCCTCGGTTTCTGCATTTTTGCCTCTAGAGATAATTCAGGCTTGAATTATCTCTAGACCCACTTGTTTGTCTGTCTCATAACCAAGAGGACCTGTAACGCTCTCCTCCAGCATCACATTTCAAGCAAACAATAATAATAATAAAAATCCTTTCAGCTTTCTTAACTGTCCAGCTTTCACACATATACATGTTGCTCATGAATACAGAAATATGGATGATCCTGGTCTTAGTCTCCAGCGAGCTACGAGACTTTAAATCAATCAGAGCACTGGTGATTTAGGTCTCCCCCACCTCCTCTAAATTAAATTAAGGGATGGCTTGTGACCATTTGTTTTTAAGTCAAGGGACACCACATAAGTGATTCTTCTGGTGGCCATCGTCAAAGACAAAAGGGACTTCCTTACTAATTTTCTACATCGCACATACAAAAAAAAGCAAAAGATCTCCGGGAGGGATTAAAACCATCCAAGACAGCAATATAATGATGAAGCATCGCTGACAGTTACTCTAAAGCAAATAGAAAAAAAAGGAACTGGAATAGAAGCAAAATTAAGTCAGGAGTACAAGACAATGGAATTGCAAGACTGGAAAAAAAAGTACAACATAATTTTAGAACAGAGTGCAAGAAAATTAAATAGTCTCCCTCTGGCATGGGTGGAAAATACCACAATGAACTTATTAGATGAGCCTGTCTAAATCATCATCATAATGTTCTGTTGTCAATTCTGACTTGCAACAACCCTTTCCAGAGTTTTCCAGGTAGAAAAGACTCAGAAGTGGTTTTCCCTTCCCTTCTACTGTGAGTAGCCCTGGGACTGCCACGCAGCTGGCCCAAGGCCACCCAGGCTGGCTCTACTCTTAGGAGGCCCAGAGGGGGAATCGAACCCCCAACCAGAGACCTAAACCACTGAGCTATCCAGCCAGCTAAGGAGGGGGGATATTATACAGCTAGAGAGCCACCACTGAAAAGATTCTGTCTTTAATGGTTATCCACATTTTCAGAACTTCACCTCTGAAGGCCAGACTCTTACCTTATATCAGTAGCGGCAGAAAATCATCTTAGTATCCCAAGGACATAATCTAAAAAGTCCAATCCAGGTCTAATCACAAAATGCAGTCAGATCAGCTGTAATACTCTAGGGAGGTTAAAAATGTTCTTGTTGTGAAACTCACACATCTTTCAGCAAGAATTTCCTCTACTGACAATGGGCGGTCTGTAATGTATTATTGGCTCCTTTACTGGTCTACTTCTCTCCATAATGTTTTATTTCTTGACCTACCTATTGAGAAAAAACCCAGCTTCTTCTGAGAACAGGCTGTAGTATAATATTTACAAGTGTGTGTTTGTGTGTGTGTGCACGCGCAAGAAATGGAGGGTGAGAAAGTAAAAAATCTAGGTTTTGTGCCCTGCATTTTGAGCAGATATTATGTATTTATCACATTTATATTGTGCATCACATTGTTTATTCTGAATGTTGCTTGCACAACACCTTTGCACTTAGCAACTGAGCCCTGGAATCCACTCAGAGCAGGTAAAGGTTGGATTCCTCTGCTTTAAGGACACCACCCAATATAAAATTGATCTTGCCTTGAGATGTTTCTCCCCAGCTGGAGATTGGGAGAACCTAGCAATTCCCACAATTCTCGAAGGTTGGGGTCTGATGGTTGTTGTAGGTTTCTTTGGGCTGTTTGACCGTGTTCTGGAGGTTTTTCTTCCTAACGTTTCACCAGTCTCTGTGGCCGGCATC